TCAAAGAAGCCTCTGAACCCATGAGCCCCACCCCCCCTCCCCTCATTTCAAATTATTCTTGAATGAGTAGTTCAATCAAGCAGGTGACAGTACTTAAATCATTGAGAATGAAATCAGCATTTTCCTCTTCAAACGACATTATTTACCCCCGATTACTGTTTTCACAACCTCAGCTGTCTCAGTCAGAGTATTTTATTTTAATTACGCTGTTCAAATTCTACAAACATTGAAAACGAAATATTGAGGATTTTTTTTATTAGCATGAAATGTTATTGCAAGTTAACTTGACCTTTTCTTATTATAGTGTATTGCATTACATAGCGTTACATAGCATTACCACTGCAACGACACTTTCTATCATACAATCGTCACGTAAATGAAATCTACTTTCCTGAGTAAATAATTACGACTATTGTATGGTAAAAATGGTACTTTCATCATTGAAGAGAAAAACACTGGAGTTAGAGCAGTGGGAGGAGTCACTTGACCTATGAACTCTCTGACACTAACCACTATTTAACCGTGTTAAGAAAGCCTGATGAATGAGATGTACCACAAGCTGGAGTGTAGGTGAGGTCAATAACTGACATGTCACGTATCGGTCCCTCTTGTGCCAAAGGTTTAAGAAAACAAAAGGACGGAAGTTCACCGAGATTACTCAAACACTTGCGAAGAAGTGATTACCGATGCTGAAACTCGCCTTTTATATGCGCGTGATGATGCTGAAAGGTGCGATTACAAACCCAATAGAAATATAGACAAACAGATAAACATCGTAACTATGTTCGTTTCTAAGATCATTCTGTAACTAGTGAGCTAATTAATAATTAACTTAATAAAATGAGCCTTCTGGCTAGTGGCCTCAACGGTCCCATCTGAAACCCTTCAAGCATTAATCTATTTTATCGTTAAGCTCAAACTTTCGAAAACTTTAGCTAATTCCTCCTCATATGTAATTATATTTCTTCATCTGTACTTTCCTCATCTGTGCATTCCTCATCTGTAGACTCGTCATCTGTGGACTCGTCATCTGTAGACTAGTCATCTTCAGTTTCCTAATCTGTAGTTTCCTCATCTGAAAGTTCTTCATCTGTGTTAAAAGACAACTTGGCATCTAGCATGAATTTTCAGTATGTGTGTTTTTTTTAACTTATTTAAGTATTGGAAATGGATGGAAATAATACTATTATAATAAGCCATTCAGTAAATATATGTATATAATTAACTAGCTGATCATTTTCTATTTTTTTGAGGGTTTTACTTAATGGATAGTTTTTATCTTAGGTCTTAAATTCTAATTTAGCACCTTCAACACCTCTCTCTTTGGGGTGACTTGAAGGATAAACAACTTCTACTTTCTGTTCTCCGCACTGAAGTTGTAATTAGATGACTTGTTAAAGGAATGCGTGGTTCTCTTGGGGACGGTATCTTGGTTACGCCCTTCTCCTCCAGAATTCTCTGTTTATTTTATTGTTAATAAAGGCTGATACTTTCTAAAGAAACTGTTTGGGGCTGCGTCGGTGGGAGTAACGAAATAATTTGGATATATCAACAAAGTTGAAGAGCGACGAAGGGTTAACGCTCTGCTTTTGTAATCGTTACGGTGGCCAATTTACCATTTCAACTTTGTTGATATATCCAAATTATTTTATTGTTTGGTAACAGTCTCCAGAGATTTTTTTTTCTGAGTTTATCTTTTTCAGTGTAATTTTAATTCTTTTAATGAGTATTCTATAATTTTCATATTACCAATCTTGTTTTTGTTTTTGTTTTGCCTGATCTTAGCTGAAATCTGAAGAAAGAAATAATTTGGTAAAACTTGATAAGTATCACTAAGGAACATTCTTAGTATACAGCATCTGTTTTACGTAAATTAACATGATTCGCCGGCTGAGTGAGAAATGATGACGATGGATGAAGATTGACACCTTTGTGAGCTGGTGACGAGCAATATATCCCACCCAGATCAGAGCAAGTCGCCGAACTGTAAAGTTATATTCTGAGAGTTACTATACAAGCGTTAGAGAAACCTAAATTTACTTCTAACATCAGTAGTTTCTTCATCCTCAATTTCCTGCTGCGATTTCATTTTTGCACGTCAACACCTGCCTTGATTAGATCGACCCAAGACCACTTATGCCCTTTGGCTTACCTTTATAGAGGCTCAAACTTTCTAATCCTGCAGCTAGTTCCTCCTCAGCGTCAATTTCGTCCTGCAATGCTTGAAGGGCAGCTCTTGTTTTGTCGTCTCTTTTCTTTACACTCCCTTTATCCTTGTCATACTTATCTGAATTCTTTAAATCTACGTCGATTGACGAGGCTAACTCTTCCCAAGAGTCTTCACTCATTGCTCTTAAATGAATACCTGCCTTCATTAGACTCTTTAGGCCATTTTTATTCTTCTCCACATTCTGCATATAAAGGTTTGAACATCGAATGGTAAAACTCCGTATCCTGGATTCGTTTTCGTTGTAGAATGATATCAACTCCGCTGCGCAGGTCGCTACAGGGAGAGTAGTTGATAGTCACAGTAATGTTGCTACCGTGACTAGCACTAATTTTACTTTTGAACACGCTATCAGAGAGCATTACAGCTTCTTCATGTTTCAAATATGAATATGAGTAACGTTCAACGAAATTTACTTTTCTATCATCGCTCCGGATATTCAAACAATAAGTTTGGTGTAGCGCGCATAACTCGTACTTAATAGTATGTTATAAAATGTTGTTACCTTGGGGTCTTTTTCTGCTGAAAAAAAAACAAGAATTGTCATTCAATAACAGGCTTACCATAATAGTAAATCGTGGACTTCGTGGTAAACTTTTTCTCTTTAAAGTGGTTGCTGTGGTAATGGAAGAAACCGGCACAGACATCAACTTAATTTGAATCATATTTCATGGGCGAGAGGGGAGGGGGGCAAATTGGCGAATCAGCCAATCAGAATGCGATATTATTGCCAAACAAAATAACTGGTAATAAAAAGGAATGGCTATGTAAAAATAAGGAAGTCTCATGCAGTACGCCAGAAGAGTTTCTGCGGAAACATTTATGCTAACATCGATGACTTCGCTTACTTTTCGCAAACTATTAATGATAGAATTCTCAATTAATTCTATGAAAATAAGCCCATGAAGAGTAACATTATAGACTTTTGGTACTTTCATCAAGAATTAGCCGGAGGTAAGATCGTGGATTCTTGAAAAAAACAAATTGCATAGAAATAACATACTTTTATTACACGACTCGGGCAGTCAGAGGGGCAATAACTAAAATCAACCAATCAAAATACTTTGGATATATCAACAAAGTTGAAATGGTAAATTCGCTCCGACGAAGGGCTAACGCTCGAAACGTCAGCTTTTGT